AAACTATCACCCTCTTTCCTATTTCATCTATCAAAATTGAGAAGAGACTTAGTGCTCTCATTTCCTATATCAAAATTTCTTTTCGGCTTTTAGAAATTGCAATGTTTTTAAAATTTGCAGAAAATATGCGTATTTGACTACCCTCGGCAAAGAATTAAAATATGAGCACAGCCCACGATCCAAAAATTGAAACATGCTTTTACATCTTTCATTATGTAATTGCATATTTTGGATCAGAGGTTGTGCTCTATAAGATATATTGAAAAATTGCTTCAACTTTAGGCCAAACAAATTTCAAACAAACTTACGGATTTTTCAGAAAATGACGGATTTTGTGACGTCATAATGCATTGTCAAGAGAGAAAATTATGTCATTAATGACACCATTCATCATTTATTGGTAGACTAATGGATTTTGTAAGTCAACCTTACCCACGAACGTTTATTTTCTTTGTAACATATTTAATGAATAAATATGTTAACAAAATTAACATTTGTGGGAAAGGGTGACTTACACAAAATTTATTAGTCTCTACCAATAAATGATGAATCCACAGCAAAAAATGAAAAAAAAAATGTCAAAACCGTCCTTAAACTTGAAAGTTTCCAACATTTTGAGTAGTATGTAAACTTAAATTAAAGTGTGTGCCACAGGCGTGTCTTCATAAAGAAACTTTACATATAAGGTTTGTATGAACAATTTATTTTTCAATCTATGTTTCCTGTATGATGCATTTTTATACCAACTTTATACTTATCTCTCGAAGTGTCTTTTTTTCACTGTTGTTTATATGGTTTGAACATATATGATTGCGCCCATGACAAAAGCTAGGGTCCTTATGGCATTTTTGCTAAAACAGAGAAATAACGTCATAAAGATGTGACGTTGCAGACTGACGGTGAACTTCGACGCAGAATTTTTTTTTAACCACGTGTTTTGACGTTTGACGCATCCAGAGTTTTTATCGCTGTTTCCAACATGTGGAATTTAGTTTCATGTATAAATTAATTTAATCAATATCTGAATCTCCTAATCCAATGATTTTAATAGATATAAATAAAAACATTTAGAACTGGTTTCTTAACAAACATTATTAATTAAATACGTTTCTATAATACTAATAGTTTTCCTACATGCGTAATATTAAAATGTATATAAGCTGTAGACAAGGTGTTTTCTGATAGCATATTGAACCTTTATACTCTAGATAAATTTTATTTACATATTTATAACATTTTTTGGATACATCTTAGACAGGGTATATCGTAAAAAAATATTGCAAAGGAAAATTGTCTTCCTACTTCTTTGAGATCCGCTCCACCACTCTTAAATACACATCGCGATCGCGTCGATCACATGTAAATATTGATTCATCGGTGCATACTGCTTAAACTGTTGTTAAACTGTTGTTAAATTGTTTGTACAAATGTTGAAACTAAACATACATCTTCCACATTTTTTTACAAATCTAGCAAGAATGAGTAAGAACTATAGATAAGATTATTTGTATTTTCTATAAATAAAAATAGGAGAGATAACTCTGATGTCAACAATCGATGTAACAGAGGAACCAGACAGGGACATTCATTATTTTAATTTGCGAACTTTTTCACATTTCAGCTGCATGTTCGCATGAATTTTCTCCCGGATTATAAAAGAGATATTATATGACCAAATTAAAAAAAAAACTTTTAATCGTCATCATAATTATGATTTTTTAAATAAAAAAATATTGTTGTACTTTGGGAATAAGGTTAATGTAGAAAAAAGAAAAACAAAGAAGAAAAAAAAGAAAACTGCAAAATTGAACAGACTTTATTTTTTTTTCAAATCTCTTATCTATAGCTCTTTTTTTGGCATGAAATAATTTCATGACGAATTTCACTTTTCACAAAATAATAAACATGTAAAGCGTCTACCTTATAATCATGATTAAATAAACTAAATTTTAAAAATGTTGTTTTGTCTTATATTCTTGTTGCACAAAGAGAGAAATTAAAACAAGCAAAAAACATCCTCATTGCAGTTATCAGTGTGGAATAATATATTGTTTAACCTGCCATCAAATTATGGATAAATATTATTAAATATGCTCAAAAATTATTTATTTGTTTTGTTTGATAAAAAAATCTTTCAGTTCAGGGTCGGAATTTATTTCTTCATGTATATTAAATGCTAACAGAAAGAAAATAAAATTCAATGCTGAAAATACATGACATAAAACCGCAACAATATGCTTGCATTTTGTTTTATTTTGGCTGCAGTGCAGGGGATGGGGGTGGGGTTGTCCTTATATATTTCCGTAACATATAGGCTTTACAAGGCTTAGCATATCCAAGCTTCTGGAACCAGGCACGTAGCATCACTTTTGAAAGTGTGGGGGTGGGGTGGGGTGGGGGCAGCAAGAGATTTTTTTCCTTCCCTGAAAAAGTTGACAAGCCAAAAAAAAGGTTAATGTTGCACAAAGCCGAAAATCCTAGTTAGAGGCCAACTTTTTTTCAGTACCATTTTTTATACTAAGTTTTCCGTACATAACTAATAGTAGGGGGGGGGGGGCAACCAGACTCAATTATCAATTCCTATAGTATAAGTAAGGTTGGGGAAAAAAGTGAAGCCCCCCCCGGTTGCTACGTCCCTGGGCACGGGAACAGAATGGAATTCATACTCAGTACTTTTTTAAACTCACTTTATAGAATAAAATTAGAAAACAACATTGGAATGAAGGGGATTTTTATTTAGGTCATAAATAAAATGATGATTTTCTAAGATGTTTACATCCCTACAAAAATCTGACATTTCAAAGCTCAGCCAGTTCACAGACAATTGTCAGGAAATATATTATACAAAACAGTCATATTCAACTGTTTGTATATTTGGGCATAAACAATTACATGTTATTAATCTTTAACCCACCCCTACTCCCAACAAAAGCTATACATAATAACCGTAAATGGCATCTTTAATTTAATTCTATGGGTGTGCTTCTAAAACCATCCATTTCATAAAATATAACCAGATTTTTTATTTTAGGGTATCATTATTATACATGATTAACAATACTGAATTCATAGCAATTCAGTTCCAGGCTCATATTGTTTATAATAACTCTGCGATTTTGAAAATGGCAATGCTCAGAATTAAAGGTACAAATATAAAATGAAGAATAATAGGCAGCATTATTTCAAACCTAAATAAAAAAGTGAATCTGCAAGTTGTAGGAATAATGGTACTGGGTGCACCATAAACTTTTGAAGTAAAAAAAAAAATTTTTTTTTTATTTATTTTAACTCGTGTCCACATGAATTGTAAGTTTCTGCCATTTAGATTTTTTACCCCTCCCCCCTTCACCAACATACACATAATCCTACAAATGTTAATCCTGGGTTTATCTATTGTGTAAATGATTGCGGATTATAACTCATTCATTTGTTTGTAAAATTTCCACCTTTTGATTGGTTAATATTAAAATATTTATACTGCTAGACTGAAAAATATTTTGTATATCCTTTAAATTAAAAAAAAAAAAGCAGTGTCATTATTGACCCAATGCAGACAGACAACCTTATAGATGCAGTGAATCATCCGAATTTCTGTCTATTGTGTATCGTTATTACATGTCACATGTACCACACTTCACAATTTTTCTGTCTTTATATAAAATTTAGAAAGAAAGAACAATCAAATAAATGTTCACTTCGCAGTAGAATTTAGGTAGCGTAATGTTGTAATTAAAAAAAAATAAATAAATTTTCACATATATCGTAACTAAAGGTAAATCGTTTATGCTGAAATCTTGACCTATCGAGAGCAATGTTTAAATTTATATAATTTTAAAATGAATTCTACAGGCTTATCAAATGACATGGATTACCAGTAAATACTTTGTTTGAGAAAATAATTGTTTAAAAAAAATGAATGGATGTTGCCCGCTGTTCAGGGTTCCCCCTGGTGTCATAGAAAAGTGAAATGTAAAACAAACACTCACTCATAATACTATACACCACTGATGAATCCGTAATATATATAACTATTAAATAATTATTAAAAATTAAAAGAGACAATGAGATAAACATAATGTGCATGGAAAAATATCAAATATTATACAACTATTAATCATCGTAGTAAAATTACAGAAGACAATCATTTAACGTTCACTCTGAAAACGTTTGACGTTGATGAAAAACATGACGTCATTATTAACCTGTTAAAGTATATTTGATAAAAATGAAGAAAAAAACTTCTTAGAGTAGACGTAGGACCATAAAAATTCATATTTGACAGCTTCTAACCTTACTCTATCAGTCTCCGTGAAAAACTCAATATGCATAAAAATTGCCATAAGGACCCTTTTCACATGGGCGCAATCATATTATTGTAATATAATTACAAAGGAATTAGGCACAAGTTCTGAAAACTTATTACGCCCTCTCCCTACATGTACATTACACATTTATATTGTCAAAGTATTATGTGTTATCACATGTATTATATTATTGTTTATATCTTAGTGAGGAGTAAAGAAAGAGGCTTAGCTGAACATTTACTGGACCCTTAGTGTATCGTTCTTTGTAAAGAGTTTTATGAGATTTTTGTGTCCAATATATATGTTGTAATTTAAATTCTATTTGGTTGTAAGGAAAATTTAAAATATTCAAAACCGACATTTTTTGTTTTATTTAGGGTGCTTTACATGTAACAGTACAATCGCCTGTTTACGTTTTATTGACTAGCCATCCACTGAAGCTCGACCAATCAGAATGAAGAAATGTTGCGCTTGTGGACCGGATATGGACAATGTCACCGGCCTCTAGTTGAACGGGAGCCACTCCAGTACAGCTGGAATAAGCAGTGTTCTGCGCTATATTGTTACAGGCATTCATCATATAGCGAACTCCATTGACTAATAGCTCACTATCGAATATTTTTCCTGCCATTGTAAGGGTTTCCCAGCTAAACACGTAGAAGCCCTTAAAGGGGGTGTAAATTGACCATTTGAGGTATTGTAACAGTTGTGGAAGTTACTTCAGACTCTGTCGTACACGACATCTGTTTGAGTTGTTGTGGTAAATGACAAATGACTTTTCCTATATGCTGAGAAATATGCTGGCGTCTGCACTGTAAAAAAAAACAGTATTAATACATTTACAGTGCAAAGAAGTAATTGTTATATCCTATGAATTTCCAATGAAATCAATTTCTTCCTTTAATATTATGTTTATAACATTTGAATAAAATTCAATTTTAATACAGTGCAGGCTGAGATTTTTTTAATTTCATATCATAATGTAAATTCAGAAAACAATGCCTTAGAATAGGAGTGCAGTGTTTATATTTTTTGATTCTGAGTCCTGATTTTCAAACGATAACGATTCAAAATAAGATTAGCTTCCTTAATTTACTCTATTTTTGTGAAATCGACGTAAGATCAATTATTTGATTTTAAAAAAAAAAATCAATAATTTGATTTTTTTTTAAAAAAAAACATCAATTATCTATTTTAAAAAAACTTTGCCAAATTTTATAAATTTGCCCCGCAAAAGAGTAGTACATGTATACAGTTTATATAATATCATGAGAGATTTAATGATAAATTTTCTTAGTATCGAAAAATAAGAAGCCTTGAGGAGTAGGTTAATGATTGTTGAGTAAGATGATACGCGATCGACTTTAAACTTTCCTTATTTTCTTCTTCTTGTAATGTTAGTGGACCTTTCGAGGATTGACATTTTAATCTCACCAAGACATACATGTAGAGGAATAGCCCGCATTAAAACAAAAATGTTTCAGAGCTTAGATATGACTGAAGATTACATTTTATCGTTTCATTACAAATGTCTTTCTAGGAGATAGAAGGTTGTCTTTTGAACGTTATTTTGTAATTGTAATATAAAATTTATGGTAATGACTAGAAGATATGGCGTAAAAGAAGTCGAACATGAGTTATCGTTCATATAATGAGTTATCGTTCATAAGATGCGTAATACGTCATCACTAGAGACCTATTCACTCGTACATGGAATATTCCACATGCATTAAAATAAACAGAAATAAAATAAATATTCTTTAATAATATATAATACATATTCGGTTGGTAATTTATTTCTTATTTCATCTGTAATTTACAATGGGGTTATTATATATAAATCCGTATGCTGGAAAATGGAAATGTCAGTAAATATAAACAATTTATCAATATAAATTATGGATAAATTATAGACTAGCGTGGATTGATTTTAATGAAAAATAAAAGGAGTTGAGGTATAGTGCTTGATATATTTTCCTTTTATATATTTATTTGTATTTCGGTTAATGCAGTTTGGTACTGTGTATTGTGAATGGAGAATGCACGTGGGGGGGGGGGGGGGGGGGGGGGGGGGGTATTACCTACTGGAGACAGGCATCTATCGTTAAATGTGGTCCTGTAAGAAACGAAAACCAAACGTGTTTAAATGCTGCAATAAGTTCCTCGCTCCAATTTTTCACTCATGGGAACACTAACAATTGCCGTTGGAAAGCTGCTCGACACTCTGGGTCACTGAACAGTGAAGGACCTTTTTCGTGCCAGCACCAACAGCGACAGGGAGGGGTGGAGCGGTTGTTTGTGAGAGTTAAGGAGCCCACAACCACACTAAAATTATTGAATTATTAAATCTTATGCTTATATTGTAAAGAAAAGGGGGCCCTGGTCCCCTGCACAGTGAGGGATCTTTTTCGTGCCAGCGACAAGGGACCTCGGTTTATACGGTCTCATTGGAGGACCGGTCTCCACGTCCTTCAGATGGATTCAAACCTGCAACACAATGATTATCTCCTTAATCAGCGACTTGAAAGCAGACTTTCTTATTACTGTTTCACACGGCGACGCAGATTTCAGTGGAGAATCCATGAATCTTGAAAGGGGAAAAGGGGGGGGGGGGGGATGCTGTTGTTTATCAGAGTTAAGAGTTTGTCAGTGTTAAAACATACAGAAATATAATAAATATTTTTGATAATATTTATTCGATTGGTAAATTACATTTTATTAAAATTAAAAATTATTGAATTATTAAATCATATGTATATATTCGACAGAAAAAGGGGACCAGGGTGGGTGGGGGTGGGGGTGCACTAACCTCTAAACTAATCCGCCAGTGTAATTGAATGACTATTATACTGAGGTTGTGAGATAGAAATAATTATTTTCTTATTCTAATTAGAAACTTATACCTATACAACAACCACTAATAAGAAATCTGGTATTGTTTCACAGGAATATCCAGCTTAGCGATAAGACTTAATTTCTCACAAAACTCAAGATTTTTCCCCCACGAGGCATATCCTAACGCAATAGAGCAAGGGATACGTAAATCTACAAATCCTACATTTCTCGCTATTCGGCAGTTACTACTTTTCTGGGTCTGGTATACCTGATATTTCACACTAGATAATTCGAGTGAATTTTTTTTCTCATGTGATCCAAAGTACAAATATATGACATTGTGCTTACTTTATTTATATTTCTTCACTTAGGGCAGTGATGTTTGTTTAATACTTGTTGTAAAATATGATTGAAATATAAAAAAAAATTAATTAAACTAATTATAAAGTCCAAATTACTAGATTTCATTTCTTATCTAATGACCATGTATTGAAGGGCAGCCCCGCGAGAATTCCGAAGCATTTAGGTTATAATGTATAGCGACCATTTTACGTACCTAATAAATGAATGGTCTGATAGTTTAAATCTTGATAAAATTTTGAAGATGGTATCAAATAATGCTTCACTGAGAATTGTACAAAACTTTGATTTTTGTCCAATTAATTGCACCTTGAATTTTACATTAATTGAAGTTCTATGGGCTGCACATGTTTTTATTTAAGATATTGTAAAAAAGTTATTTGATTTGCAAACAAATATCTTTGTAAATATTTGAATAAACTATATCTTTATTAAGTTAAGATACTTTGAGAAATAATAATTTTTCTTCTTTTCATCAATTGCAGATAACTCTTCATAAACCTTTAAGGTGGAATGTCACACCGACTTTTTATTTTAAAGATCTTTGAGTCATCCTTTTTAAACAATTGTTTCAGCACTGAAAGGCTGATATTAGCTCTTGATTATTTATATTAATTTTTTGCAGTTTGACCCATTTGTCATGAAAATTATAAACTTTTACTTTGGCCATATCTTTTGAACAGTAGATGCCAAGACATTTATACTTCACATATGTAATCTTTTTTGAATGACCTTTCATTTGATACCAACAGCCTTGATCCTTTGACCTTGAACTTGTAGATTTCCGTACTTGTGAAGAAACTTTAACCTTGGCTATAACTTTTGAACGGTAGGGGATAGGACTTTCATACTTCAAATACTTCAAATACTTGATCTTTGTGAGAAGTTACTTCATTGGATACCGAGAATTTTGACCCTTTGACCTTTAAGATTGACCTACTTTAAAAAAGCAAACATTGACCATAACTTTTTAAGTATTATGGCTAGTGCTTTCATACTTAACATATTTAATCCTTGTGAGAAGTTACTTCATTGGATACCAAGAACATTGACCCTTTGACCTTGACGTTGGAGTTTGACCTTCTTTTTAATAAATAACCTAGGTCATAACTTCTGACCGGTTAGGGTTAGGGCTTTCATACTCTATATAAGAATTCTATGTGGCAAGACCTTTCATTTTGATACCAATTACATTGACATTTTTGCCTTGACCTTAGAGATTTTTGTACTTATAAAAAAAAACCTTTAACATTTTCACAAATTTCACAATTGTTTTCCGTTGAGAATACCTTATTTTTGGTAACTATTAATTAAATTTGCATTTAAAAAAAAAGCTTAATATTTGCTATGTTGCCATATGGGGGCATCAGTGCTACACAAACACATCTTGTTTATTAGGTATTCATATGATGCATTCATTTACAGCAAATTATTTTAAAAGAAAGCATCTAATTTGGATGTAAATAATCATAATCCTACATGTCATTCATTGCTGATGATTTATTTTAGATTGAAATTATTACCATGATCTTAAAAGGGTTTTCCTACCTACCTGTAGCTTGTACCAGCTAATAATTCGACATCGAACTCGGCAACTCCTTCCCTTTTACGGAAATTAAAAAGATCAGTTTAACCTGAAGATATGTCCCCGATCTCAGAGCTTTCTATCACCTACCTGTACCTTGTACCAGATAAGAATACGACAAAATATTCGTCTTATTCCAACCTGTCTGTCATAGATTCTAATTTATTTTATACTGAAATTATTACCCTGATCTTACTTGGCAACTCCTTACCTGTTATGGAGATTCAAAAGATAGGTTTAACATGAAGATATGTCCCTGATCTCAGAGCTTTCTCTCACCTACCTGTACCTTGTACCAGATTAGAATACGACAAAATATTCGTCTTATTTCAACCTGTCTTTCCTAGATTCTGATTTATTTTATACAGAAATTATTACCCTGGTCTTACTCGGCAACTCCTTACCTGTTATGGAGATTCAAAAGATAGGTTTTACATGAAGATATGTCCCTGATCTCAGAGCTTTCTCTCACCTACCTGTACCTTGTACCAGATAAGAATACGGCAAAATATTCGTCTTATTCCAACCTGTCTTCCATAGATTCTGATTTATTTTATTTAGAAATTATTACCCTGGTCTTACCCGGCAACTCCTTACCTGTTATGGAGAATCAAATGATCGGTTTAACATGTAGATATTCCCCTGATCTCAGAGCTTTCTCTCACCTACCTGTACCTTGTACCAGATAAGAATACGACAAAATATTCGCTATATTCCTTCCTGTGTTTCATAGATGCTGATTAATTTTATACTGAAATTCTTACCCTGATCTTACTAGGCAACTCCTCACCTTTTATGGACATTTAAACGATAGGTTTAACATGAAGATATGTCCCTGATCTCAGAGCTTCCTCTCACCTACCTGTACCTTGTACCAGATAAGAATACGACAAAATATTCGTCTTATTCCAACCTGTCTTTCATAGATTCTGATTTATTTTATACTGAAATTCTTACCCTGATCTTACTAGGCAACTCCTCACCTGTTATGGTTTTTTATAGGATAGGTTTAACATGAAGATATGTCCCTGATCTCAGAGCTTTCTCTCACCTACCTGTACCTTGTACCAGATGAAACCGACAAAATATTCGTCTTATTCCAACCTGTCTTTCATAAATTTATTTTATACTAAAATTATTACCCTGGTCTTACTAACTCCTTACCTGTGTTTCATAATTAATATCATAATTTTTAATCATTTAATAAAAAATCAATGAAGTTATCCAGAGGTTATACTAGTACATAATCCAGAACAGCTGAAAATGTTGAAATATTATTAGAATTCATTGAAAATTCTCAAGTTTAAGAATGGAATAGCTTATTTTTGTACATTGTATCCATTATTTGAATTTATTTGCTGATTATATAAGTCTTGATAAATGGTTAGTACTGTTATCATAGTTTTTTGACATGTCTTCAGGTTGTTTGATTTTGTGTAAGGATTTGAAAAACAGGAAGTTTATTCTGCTGATATTCTCAAAGAATTGGATGTTTGTGCATGCTTTCATTTTGATATTTCATGTATGTTACTTTAAGATTTATTACATGTATTAAAACCCGTGCCCTATACATGGAAATATTGGAGCCTTATAAAGCTTTAATTTGTTCTAAAACATTATCCATTTGTTCAAAAACCCTTTAATTGTGATCCGTAAACATTATTTCATAAGATATAATTTCATTTTCAAATTTCAAGTAATAGGAAAAAAAAAACTTTTGGCTGCTGTATATAATATTTAACTAAGTATACTTATTATACACTTGATTATTGAAAATTTATTCAAAATAAAATTCATCCTATATTCCAACCTGTGTTTCATATTCTGATTTCAATTTTATACTAACTTGTTACCCTGATATTAATAGGCTAATTTCTCTAAGAATTTGAAATTAAAATATGAATTACTACTGTAAATATGTTTTTGAATCCTAGGTAAGCATTTAAAGGATAGGTTAAACATGATGATATGTCCCTGATCTCAGAGCTCTCTCTCACCTAATTAAGAATAATGTCTTACAAATGGGTGTTGAAATATATTCATATGTAGTATTATCATCCAGGTAAGGTTACCTGTTTTTCTGCTGTCATAGATTGGATATTTATTTTATACATGTCTTAAATAAATTACCCTGTGCATCATCTTACGAGAGTGTGCAAGCTAATGTGAGTAACTTGTATATTCTATTACCAGCGAGTGAATGTTTAATAAAATTCCACAATGTTTATATATATACATATATTGTTATTAAAATTTGAAATATGATATTTAAAAAAAAATTATTCATGTATTTTTGGAAAGGGGGAGGGATAAAACTTGCATGAATTATATTCAATATGCATTTTCAAATTTCTTCAGCTAGTATAAATCGACAACAAAGGAAATAGCTACATCTTAATCATTAATGATCAAGATAGAAATGCATGGTTTTTTATGTGTGACAGGATGTGAGGGAGGGTGTGTGTTGTAAAATAATACATTGGGTTGAGCATTTTTTGGTAATATATAGAGGGAGAAAATGTATGGCTATATTAGGATTAAACTTAGAACCATGAATCACTTGTCAGGTGCTCTACAATAACGATGGTCAATTGATTGGCTTGCTTAATAATTTTATGCATAAATTCCAATTGATTGATTACATCATAAAATTCAAAAAAGTAGACCGTTATTTAAGGAAGCCTTTAAGGACCTACTTGTGTATAAACATATTTTTGAATCCAAAATAACGAATTGTCAAATTTGTTATAACGAATTTGATACGTTATAAAAATTTCTTTGAATTGGATATAATGAATTTAATCTGTCATAACAAATCTGTTGATTTTTGTTATAACGATTCAAAAAAATTCTTTTAACGAGTTCATTTTGTTCAGACGGATTCTAAAATTTGTTAAAACAATTAAATTTGTTATATCAATTTTTGAATTCATTATAACAAATTAAATTTGTAATATCAAGTTTCATGAATTTTTTATAACAAATTCACAAATTTTTTCCCATAGGACCTAATAGTCCAAATTTTATTAAACAACTTCATTTCGTTATAACAAAAATTAAATCTGTTTAAACAAATTTAATTTGTTATTACAAATTTTAGAATTCGTTTTCACAAATTTAATCTGTTTTAACAAATTTTTGAATTCGCTTTAACGAATTTATCAAATCTGTTACAACAAATTACATTCGTTATAATGAATTCCAAAAAATTGTTATAACGAATTCGATTCGTTTTAACAATTTCAACAATTCGTCATATCGAATTCAAATATATTATTTGATAGGTCCTAAACAGGCTTCTGTAGTTATTCTTTAAGTATGCAATATTCTTTTATGCTGGTTTTATTTGCAGACTGCACAATGCAAGAAGCTTGTAAATGCCTTGTGCCAGTTGCGGCCAGGGACTGTTCTGGTAAAAGGAAATGCCAGCATATTAGGCAAAAAGATTTCAGTTTTGGTACGTAACTTCCATGAATCTCAAAAAAACTAAATTTAGAGCAACTGGTTTGAACTGTACATGTACCATCTTAATATGAAATTAAAATTTATGGCTTTACAGTTTGAAGATCACATTAAGGAAAGACTGAAAGAGGTGGTTTGTTTAAAAGAAGGCAATTCAAAGTAAGGATTCCTGATAGTTTTATATACCTGATGCAAATGTTTTAATTGATTAAACCCGACATAGTGTTGGGGATATATATTAAAGAATCACTTGCCTAAATAGTTATCCATTTGTCTGTGCAATTTTGTTCAGGTGACATTTGAAGGTTATACTTCTACAAATATTGTTTTGACCTTAGGAGGTGTCATAATTAATGCCCCATTACAGAAATACTCATATGGGATGTTAAATACCATTCAGTTTATCAATCAGTCATGTCATGAGTGTATTACTCTAATACATAATTATCAAAAGTTGGAACTTAAGGCATTTGAATGTACATATGTCTTAAATGAAAATTACTAACAAGTTAAATAGTGATGGTAAATTGATTGATTTTTGATGATTTACCCTGAGTTGGCATTATTTATCTGTATCTCTTGGTGGTACACTGGTAGAGAATTATGGTGTAGAATGAAAGGCAGTTCCATAATTCTTTTACAGAGAAACTTGTACAAAGATTATGAATGCCAAAAGGATGGGTTATTCTTTAAACTATCTACATTTAACTTTTTTAACTTTAAAGTTTAATGGAGAAAGTACTAGGCACTGTAGAATTTTGCTGGTGGAATTATTATATTTTAATTTGGTAGATCACCTACAATACAATATCTCTAATTAAAGGTGCCCATTTGATGATTTTTTTATTTGACGTTCTATAAAATTAATTAAAGCTGCTATGAACCACATTGGAGGCATATCAGATGGGTTCAAAGACAGCCCCTCAATGAAGCCTTGGAACTCAGAAATTCGGAGAAGGGAATTGAGGAGAGAGCAAAACTTTTTGGAAAGGTATCATTTGTTCATATGTATCAAAAGAGATTATCAGATTTTAATACAACTAACTATCCTAAAATGAAAAAGCAAGGAATTAGTATTAATAGTAATAGTCAATAGTGAAATCAAATATGTATGTGCTTTTATATATTGATAAAATTATAATTTCAAACCAAATATTTTATTCAATCTATACGGTTTACCAGAATTGAATGCTTTGATTTTGGGAGAGTTTGGGGTGTTCAAGCCTAAATCAATCATGTAAGTTCATTTTTTTCATGCATTTTTCCCCAATAGTAAATTTTCGCCACTATTGCTTTCTATCTGTTTTCTCCACATGTTGTGCATGCAATGGAGCATTGATGTTAAATCTGAAAAATTTGAAAAATTTTCAGCTTAATATCCTTTGAAACAGTTCGACCAATTTCGACATATATCATCTATGGGTAAAGGGAAACAAAAATTGTAAATGTCATTTATCAGTGTTTTTATTCTGATCTATAGATCATTACATTATATGGTGAGAGTTAAGGCCCTTGGGCCTCTTTTATATACATATTTCTTTTATCACAATGGTAATTGACATAAGTTCCTCATATTGATGTTTCCGTGTATCTTATTTCCAACTTCAGAAGAATAGGTTACTGCCATGGTCACTATTTGTCCATGAAGGATGACACCAACAGACTTCTCATGGCTACACTCGAAGATGAGTATGTGTTTACTTGCTACCTTTATCCTTCCTTTTAAATTTGAATTGTTTTTAAATTGTTCAATTTTGTAAGAGAGAAAGAGAGAGAAATATTTTGTCATCCTTGATTACATAATGCATAACCTATATCAGAGACTTTTTACTGCAATTAGGCCTAAGGTTCTCATAATCTTTTCGGAACAAAGCTCAATGAGTCCCTAATTTCTGTCTGCTGTATGTTGTGTGGCATCAGTAACTTTTAATAGTACAAACTTCACCAGAATAAATAACTTGTATCTCTATTGAAATTCTTCATTTGGAACCTGATGGGATCGAGAAATAAAATTTAAACATCTGAGGGTTAGAGATATCCAAAGTAGAATAATGAAGGAATAAGCTTTTGAGGTATACTAATCACATTGCATCTCCATGGTAATAGAGATATCAGTGTTCTAGATAACGAAGATTGACTGTATATAGAAAAAAATAAGATATCAAGCTAATTTAGAGAATCAGTGTCCCCAACTTCAGGGAAAAAGGAGAGGATGCACAGATCTAGGGGGCTGGAGTCAAGAGGGGAACTTTGAGAAGGGCAGGCAGGGCCATAGGCATTAATGATGTATAAAAATTAATGAAAACAATCAAAAGCTTGTTGGGATATCACTGCAAAGGAAAGTTGAATGTAATAGTTTACAACCATGACCTTTGACTTTCTGAACTTGCAATCTGCAGGGGTCTACCTCAGGCCATAGGAATAAAAGAGATAATTTGAACAAAAATAAAAGTATTACAGACAGACAGAAATACAAACTGAAAGACTGACAGAAAAAAAACTTGCAAAGTTGATATCCCTCACTTTCAGTGAAAGAAGCAGAAAAAATTCTTTTGAAGTACATCAATATCTTGCTTAATGCACTACCACCGTTATTATCCTTTTAATAAATTTAATTGATAAACATGTTCCCAAATAGGGAATTTTGTATCCTGAAAATTTATTTGCAATGGTTGCATTTTGAAAGAACAAGTTTTTCTGTATATTATAGAATGTTCGAAATATGATGTATATACAAACATCCAAAAGTTATGTATAAATTTTATTCATTAATTTATTCCCCTCCCCTCCCTATTGAAGAAGGGAGGCCATATTGCTTTGCTGCTGTCTATTGGTTGGTCCACCGGCAGTTTCTGTTCATTTTCTAGACAGAAGTGGCAAATTTTAAAAATGAACTCTAGTTAAGAACTTACCACTTGTTGTGGGAGGTTAATTTTCATTGATTTTGTGTCAGGAAGAGATGCATATATATATATATATATATATATATATATATATATATATATATATATATATATATATATATATATATATATATATATATATATATATATATATATATATATTAGTGTTATTCCCGCATACCAAAAAAAGAAGACACCATAAAAATAATAATATTATTTTCAGTAGTTTTTAAATTCAAGTTCATAAAGCAGTAATAATTGAATTCTGAATGAAGGTTGTCATTTGGGTCAACTACATCAATTCACAAGCAAATGAATATAATTGCATCATCTTATTTTTCTGTCTTACAGGATGGGCCAAAATATGAATGAAGGACTGCAGTATTTCAGGGATGTTTTGTTTGTTGAAGGGGAGATTTTGCTCGCGGCACTGTTATGGAATTTGTCCTCATCTGAAGCTGAGTGCCGCCTTTACCCGAAGAGTTCATAAACCTTTTTTTGTTTTTGGTGTGGATGTGTATTAGTGTATGTGTCCATGGCTCTTTATTTTTGCCTAATGTAGTAGCTAACTACATAAGAAATGTTATTAGGGATTTTTAAATCCAAGGAGCACATGCAAACAAAAACTACTTTGCAGTCTTTTCATATTTAAATAAACCATTTCAATATAATTAAATATTGGCACTTCAATTTTTTATCATGAAGGTTTTGTAAAATTGCAATTTGTATATGATTTACTTTAAGTGCCTTGTTATATATTAGAACATATTATTTTAATCATAATATTCCAATCCCTCTGATTGGCTTAAAGTTGGTCACATGATTAAGTATATAACAGCATATAGACTTGAGTTACTATTTATAGAATCTGAAATGCATATCAACTTGATGTTTCTTAAAATGGAGTTAATTTTCTGTAAAGCGAAAAAAAGTAATCATTGCAAATAATTTCATTTACGTGACATGTTCTTGTTTAATAATGTTATAATATAACAGTATCTGTATTGTACATATTGTCATTCTTATCCATCACGTGATCATTATTGATCCATTTACCAAAAGAGAAAGCATGGTTTATTGAACTGCTGAATTTTTTTAACCCACCATCCACCCCATCTGCCACCAATGCTTGTTATTTCTTTCAGGTTGACATTTTTGTTATGTTTTAACCATCTTTTTATGATAGTGTTCGAATGGGATAAAGTGATTTTTAATATTCATTCTCCAGCGGACGTTCTAACTGAAAAAGTAAATTTTTGTACATTGTAATAAATAGCAATTCCATGTATTAGATTACTGAGATTGAGTCCGCCATTCATTTTGTGTACCTCGCAAATTTGCTTCTGTCTGCAGCTTTCCTTTTGATTTTTAAACATTAATCAGTGTTACTTTTTATATATATTTTTTCCTCAGCGGTGAGGGAAGCATTTTTTGTGTTCAATTTAATGCCTATCTGATTGCTTTGTTATTGGCTGTTTGTTATTTTGTTTTCCCACCTTTTTTGATGGCAGGCAGCAGTTTTGAGCATTTTGTATATGTCTTCGGAACTTATGATGTTTATAAGGGGGTCAACTTGAAATACATGTATATTGTAATTTGTGAAAGATTACAGGGTTTGAATTCTTATTCTAGTCTGGTTGACCCCCCTTTTGCCTATGTACATCATGTTACAATGTCATTATGGTTCTGGGGGTCAGATTGTTTAATATTTTGACTAACATGTGTAATACTCTATATTTGAGTCCTCCTTTTAATGACCCCAATTTTATTAACTGTGTTTACCTTTCCGTCATTTACAATAATAAATGACATATTTTACTTCTACTTGATGTTATTTGTTTTTGCCTGCTTTTAACAAAAAAAAGCTCAGTCATTTGGCAGGAGAACTAAGGAACATAAAATTAATAATATTGATTTTACAATTATAGCTAATAGGGTATATGATTTAACATTTCTGAAAAAAGCATTTACTTCAACCTGTATTTAAATTTGTAATGTTCTGAAACTGATAAGATGTAACAATGACCTGAATTATGATCTACTTAATATTAGAACATACATGTATTGAATATTTTTATCAATATTGATACAAAACATAAACAAAAAAATTTACATTTGCATTGTTGGATAGACAGCATTAAAGGGATTATATATATAATATATATAGTAAACCATTTCAATGATTGAACTTTAGCATGCTATTTACCTAAATTAATGATTGATAAGTATCTGTGATCAATGGCCTTGATAAGGCGTAGGAGGAAATGGAAGTAAGTCTGAAATAGATGCAGAAAAATGTGAAATGAACCATGTGGCATATCTGAGATAAAAAATAAAAATACACCATCAAGTGCATGTAGATTTACCTGATATTTGTTATTTATGTTCCAATTCAATTTTTCAGTGATTTTGAACTGTTCTATAGTTTAATTGACTTTACACTGTGGCTTATATTTAAATGCGGAGTAGGAAATTAAAAAGGGTATTGTTTCAAATACTTATGAAAATCGATTCATCTAAATTGAAAAATTTATGGGAAAGTCCTATCTTGATATATATTAACATGCATGCAAAACCAGTGCAAAAACATTTCTTAAATTCAGTTGATTTGAACTTATCAAAACTATGCCATAAATTACTTTCGAAAAGAGTTACACATAAGTGTCATAAATTTGTTGAAGTCATTGGAGGAGAGTATATGTAATTAGAATTGAGTATTTCATTATAGATTAGAGATTTGATTAAAAATATACTATATTCATTGAATTTGAATGAATAGCAGACATAAATGTCCATGATTGTTCTCTCCATAGACTCGAGATTTACATGATGTAATGGTAAGGAAAAAATTTATGGCTGGTCTAGGAATCTAACTCTGAACCCTTGCATCACTTAATACAAGTGCTCTACCGACTTGCTGTTCAGGCCAATATCCAAGACGCAGGCTATTTCATGTGATAAAAGGCACTTGACAAATACATTTTGACAATGTTTTGGTACCTATTGGAAATATTTTCAATAATATTCCCATCTTTCTTGCTGTAGTTCAGTTGACAATAGCCAAGTACTAGTTAGAGGTAGAAATAGTATCACCTCTTACAGGTAGGTATTTTAAAATCAGACACCTGTCGGAGTTAGGAGGCTTAAAATACTAGAAGTACATTGTATACATATCTGGTACCTGTAAGAGTTAGGTGTGTTTAACTTAGGTATATATAAGAGGACTGATGGTTCAAGGACTAGATTTTGATTGTATACTGTATATATCTTATACTTGTTGAAGGAAGTTGAACTAAAGTATGGTACATGTTTCAGGTAGTAGTGTTCTTATCAAGTATTTTTTGACAGGTAGGTTAGTTAAAGTACCAGAATATGGTATGTGGCCTTTTATAGGTGTGAGAAGTAAATTCTGATATCTATTATAAGTGTATTATATTCTAATGTGTCTAAAGGGTAGGGTGGTAATAATACTAAAATTGATTAGAGGTAAGTGAACTGAAACCTGGTTCTAATTTCGTCCTGGATTACAAGCTAGTACAAGATACAGGTAGGTTAGAGGAACCCTCCAACATAAGGGTAATTATGATATAAAATAAATCAACATCTATGAAACACAGGAAGGAATATAACGAAAATATGGCCGTATTCTTATCTGGTACAAGGTACAGGTAGGTGAAAGAAAGCTTTGAGATCAGGGACATATCTTCAGGTTAAACCTATGTTTTGAATCTCCATAACAGGTAAGGAGTTGCCTAGTAAGATCAGGGTAAGAAATTCAGTATAAAATAAATCAGCATCCATGAATGATAGGTAGGATTATGACAAATATTTTAATGTATTCAAATCTGGTACAGGGTACAGGTAGGTGAGAGAAAGCTCTGAGATCAAGGACATATCTTCATGTTAAACCTATCTTTTGAATATATAAAAGGTAAGGAATTGCTTAGTAAGACCTGGGTAAAAATTTCAGCATAGAATAAATCGGCATCTATGAAACACAGGAAGGAATATAGCGATAATTTTGTCGTATTCTTATGTGGTACAAGGTACAGGTAGGTGAGAGAAAGCTCTGAGATCAGGAATATATCTTCATGTTAAATCTATCTTTAGAATCTCCATAAAAGGTAAGGAGTTGCCTAGTAAGATCAGGGTAAGAATTTTAGTATAAAATAAATCAGCATCTATGAAACACAGGAAGGAATATAACGAATATACGGCCGTATTCTTATCTGGTACAAGGTACAGGTAGGTGAGAGAAAGCTCTGAGATCAGGGACATATCCACATGTAAAACCTATCTTATGAATCTCCATAACTGGTAAGGAGTTGCCGAGTAAGACCAGGGTAATAATTTTAGTATAAAATAAATCAGAACCTATGAAAGACAGGTTGGAATAAGACGAATATTTTGTCGGTTTCATAACTGGTACAAGGTACAGGTAGGTGAGAGAAAGCTCTGAGATCAGGGACATATCTTCATGTAAAACCTATCTTTTTAATATCCATAAAAGTCAAATATCCATGAGGAGTTGCCTAGTAAGATCAGGGTAAGAAATTCAGTATAAAATTAATCAGTATCTATGAAAGACAGGTAGGAATATGACGAATAGGTCGTATTCTTATCTAGTACAAGGTACAGGAATGTGAGAGAAAGCTCTGAGATCAGGGACATATCTTCATGTAAAACCTATCTTTTGAATCTCCAAAACAGGTAAGGAGTTGCCGGGTAAGACCAGGGTAATAATTTCTGTATAAAATAAATCAGAAACTATGGAAGACAGGTTGGAATAAGACGAACATTTTGGCCGTATTCTTATCTGGTACAAGGTACAGGTAGGTGAGAGAAAGCTCTGAGATCAGGGACATATCTTCATGTAAAACCTATCTTTTGAATCTCCATAACAGGTAAGGAGTTGCCGAGAAAGACCAGGGTAATAATTTCTGTATAAAATAAATCAGAATCTAGGAAAGACAGGTTGAAATAAGACGAATATTTTGTCGGTTTCATAACTGGTACAAGGTACAGGTAGGTGAGAGGAACCTCTTGAGATCAGGGACATACCTTCAGGTTAAACCTATCTTTTAAATATCCATAACAGGTAAGGAGTTGCCGAGTAAGACCAGGGTAATAATTTCAGTATAAAATAAATCAGAATCTATGAAATACAGGTTGGAATAAGACGAATATTTTGGTCGTATTCTAATCTGGTACAAGGTACAGGTAGGTGAGAGAAAGCTCTGAGATCAGGGACATATCTTCATGTTTAACCTATCCTTTAAATGTCCATAAAAGGTGAGGAGTTGCCTAGTAAGATCAGGGTAAGAATTTCAGTATAAAATAAATCAGAATCTATGAAAGACAGGTTTGTATAAGACGAATATTTTGTCGTTTTCTTATCTGATACAAGGTACAGGTAGGTGAGAAGAAGCTCGAAGATCAGGGACATATCTTCAGGTTAAACCTATCGTTTAAATGTCCATAACAGGTGAAGAGTTGCCTAGTAAGATCAGGGTAAGAATTTCAGTATAAAATAAATCAGAATCTATAAAGACAGGTTGGAATAAGACGAATATTTTGTCGTATTCTTATCTGGTACAAGGTGCAGGTAGGTGAGAGGAAGCTCTGAGATCGGGGACAAATCTCCATGTTAAACCTATCGTTTAAATATCCATAAAAGGTAAGGAGCTGCCGAGTAAGACCAGGGTAATAATTTCAGCATAAAATAAATCAGAATCTATGAAAGACAGGTTGGAATAAGACGAATATTATGTCGTATTCTAATCTGGTACAAGGTACAGGTAGGTGAGAGAAAGCTCTGAGATCAGGGACATATCTTCATGTTTAACCTATCCTTTAAATGTCCATAACAGGTGAGGAGTTGCCTAGTAAGATCAGGGTAAGAATTTCAGTATAAAATAAATCAGAATCTATGAAAGACAGGTTGGTATAAGAGGAATATTTTGTCGTATTCTTATCTGATACAAGGTACAAGTAGGTGAGAAGAAGCTCTAAGATCAGGGACATATCTTCAGGTTAAACCTATCGTTTAAATGTCCATAAAAGGTGAGGAGTTGCCTAGTAAGATCAGGGTAAGAATTTCAGTATAAAATTAATCAGCATCTATGAAACACAGGAAGGAATATAGCGAATATTTTGTCGTATTCTTATCTGGTACAAGGTACAAGTAGGTGAGAGAAAGCTCTGAGATCAGGGGAATATCTACATGTTAAACCGATCATTTGATTCTCCATAACAGGTAAGGAGTTGCCGGGTAAGACCAGGGTAATAATTTCTAAATAAAATAAATAAGAATCTATGGAAGACAGGTTGGAATAAGAGGAATATTTTAGCCGTATTCTTATCTGGTACAAGGTACAGGTAGGTGAGAGAAAGCTCTGAGATCAGGGACATATCTTCATGTAAAACCTATCTTTTGAATCTCCATAACAGGTAAAGAGTTGCCGAGTAAGACCAGGGTAATAATTTCTGTATAAAGTTAATCAGAATCTATGAAAAACAGGTTGGAATAAGACGAATATTTTGTCGTATTCTAATCTGAATCAAGGTACAGGGAGCTGACAGAAAGCTCTGAAATCAGGGACATATCTTCATGTTAAACCTATCTTTTGAATCTCCATAACAGGTAAGGAGTTTCCAAGTGAGATCAGGGTAAGAATTTCAGTATAAAATAAATTAGAATCTATGACAGACAGGTTGGAATAAGACGAATATTTTGTCGTATTCTTATCTGGTACAAGGTACAGGTAGGTGATAGAAAGCTCTGAGATCGGGGACATATCTTCAGGTTAAACTGATCTTATTAA